TAAATTTCCAGCTACTCTAATTAAGGGTTATCTGAGCAAATGGCTCACCAAATCAAATAATTCATAATAGAACCTACAAAGTATATAAAATTCTAAGACGATCTGGCGATGTCCGTCTGTCTGTTGTAATCACTCTATCTTTCGAACGAATTGAGATATAAGCTAAAATTTTGCATACATGCATAGTTTACCAGTAGGCAGGTTAAGTTCGTAAATGGGTTGGAATTATTTAAAATGTCCTATTTGAAGTTTGTAATGGGCACTACAGCCTATGACAAAAATTTTTGTATGCAGGTCCAAGTCTTCGTATAGCTCCCATATAACGGTACCTCCCGATATTCGGTATTTTGATGATTTCAGCAATATTATTCATCAGAATCGTTTCAAATTTCGTACTGGAAGATGCTAATGGGTATTACAAGCTATGGCAAAAAATTGTGTATGTAGGTTAAGATCTTCGTATAGCCCTCATATAGGTTAGGTTAAAGGACGCGCAGTTACCATTTGGTAACTACTCCACTCGGAGACCTATAGGTCCATTGTGTTCATCCTAGAAGAATAGTAAGAAAAAAGGAAGGAATGGTTAATAGAAGGGGGTGAAGATAGAAGATAGAGTTATAGAGTGTGATCTATGGCTAAGGAATTTGCGTGTCGTCTTTAGCCACTGGAATCTTCTGGCTAATTGAAAAATTACTATAGGGTCAGAATTAGAAAAAGAAGACAGATCGTGTGACACTAGTTCACCCACTAGCCTGTGTCTTACATTAATGAGTGCTGGGCAATGGCAGAGCAAGTGTTCGACTGTCTCAATTTCTTCTTCATCTTGACAGATCCTACAGTAGTCAAGGTCGTCGCTATCCCATTACCTTACAGTGACCTGTGATGATACCCACCACAAGCCTTAGATCAGGTTTCGACAATGACAGCAGAGACCTTATTCTCTTCTCTGAGAGTGTGGGCCAGATTCTTTTGGAGATGGTGCAACCCATTTCGTCCAGCCATTTTTGTTGGATTCTCTCAGAGTAATGTCTGTGAATAACCTTCAATGGTGGTTGATTCGGATCGTAGCCTGGCCAATTCGTCTGCAGTCTCGTTACCTGGGATGTTATAGTGACCAGGAACCCAACATAGCTTGGTGGACACCCCAGTGTTTTCCAAGGCTTTTCTGCAGTTCAAAACAGCCCCAGACTGAATGGTAAAGGAGTTTAAGGCCTTCAGTGCCGCCTGACTATCGAAATATATAGTCACCGGACCGCTAACCTCAGTATTCCTCGTGACCAGCAGGTCTTTGGCCTTTTTGACCGCAAAGATTTCCACCTGAAATACGCTACAGTCATTTCCAAGCTCGTAGGATTCACGAACATTAAGGGTATCACAGAAGACACCAGCTCCTGTTCCACAGTCTATCTTTAAACCGTCGGTATAAACAGCTATGCCTCTCTGTTAGGTATGTGTATATCAGGTGGCTCAAAGCTCAACCGTGGTGAAATATAGTCACTTGTATTGGCTACCACTTCCACATTCCTTACACGTTTTAAAATCGCAGAATGTCCAAAGGGTTGACTGCGCCATTCGTTTAGTTCTCTGAGTCGAAGAGCACTCCTGAATGCCTGTTCCTCTACATGTATGCTTAGGGATGGGGCTCTTTGAACTTTGTCAATGTGTCGCAAGTAGGTTGACTTCTTCAAGGAATGCCACCATACTGGAGCTCCATAGGATAGATGGGGCAAACAATTGACTCATACATCCATTTAATGATTTGTGCTTTGAGGCCCCAGCTTTTACCTATGGAGTTTTTACAGGAATAGAGTGCGACCAAGCCTCTCTTAGCTCGTTCCTCAGTGTTCCTCTTCCAACTTAATTGGCGGTCGAGGATAGTGCCAAGATATTTGGCTTCTGGAGAGAGGTTTAAAGTGACTCCATCTAGCCTCGGTGGTATAAATGAAGGATATTTACGTTTCTTAGTGAAAAGGACGAGCTCTGTCTTTGATGGGTTCATGCCCAGTCCATTTGCGACGCGCCCATCTTGGTAGGATGACTAGAGCTACCTGGATATAACGGTACCTCCCGATATTCGGTATTTTCACGATTTTAGCGACATTATTTACCGGAATTATTTCGAGTATGAATTTCGTAATGGGTACTACAGCCTATGACAAAAATTTTTATATGCAGGTCCACGTCTTCGTATAGCCCCCATATAACGGTACCTCCCGATAGTCGGTATTTTGACGATTTCAGCAACATTATTTACCGGAATCGATTCAAATTTCGTATTGAAGAATCTTAAGGGGTACTGCATCTTATGGCAAATAAATTCGTACGCAGGTCCACGTCTTCGTATAGCCTCCATATGACGGTACCTCCGGATGGTCGGTATTTTCATGATATTTGCAACATTATTCACCGTAATTGTAATAAATTTCGTATTTGAAGTTCGTAATGGGCACTATAGCCTATGACATCGTATAGTCCCTATATAACGATTTTGTGCAGATATGTAGAGCATATGCAGGACATGTGGGGAAGATGACGAAACATTGGAACATTTTCTCTGCCAATGCCCAGCTTTTGCAAATATCAGATCCCAATTCTTAGGGAACGACTCCATACCAGACCTTAATCAGACCATGGTAAATGATATAAGACAGTTAAGAAATTGCATAAAGGCAACTGAATTTCAAATATAACAGACTGTAAACTGCCCGTCTTCTTCAAAAAAAAAAACGCTTAGTCTAGAGCGCACAACAGGCCTATACTGGCTTAAGTGTATGCCCAACAGGGCATGCGGCGAATTGCTTCGCCCCTCTTTTCAACCTAACCTAACATATATCATTTAAATGGTAGTTTTCGTTTTTTTTTTTAATTTTTCAATTTTCTTCGAAATGGTGGAGGGTATTAAAAGTTCCGACCGGCCAAACTTAGCAGCTTTTTACTTGTTTGTGTTTATGATTGTGTTCGAGTTAACTTTTAAGTATCGAGATGTCAATAAAAAATCTTAAATTGTTGATGTTCTAACATTTAAATATGGAGTACTGAGTTTGTTCGACAGTGGAAAGTAGTTTAGCGTCGTCTTTATGTATGTGATCGTGGAAAATGGGCCCATAAAATTTTATATGTCGTTAGGATCTAAGGGTCAAGGATGGACGGGCGATGCGTGGGAGTAAAACCACCAAACTCGCTTGTTATTGAAGTACAGGGTGTTTGTAATCGTTTTTTTTTTTTTTTGAGTACGTCAATGTAAGTATTAATTATTCGTCCCCTAGGGCTACGGTGTAAGGGTTGGAACTGTCCTGAAGAAAAAGTGCGTCCCTGAGCTTGCTGGTAATACACCGTAGCACCACTGTAGGTGGTACATAACAACACATGTGCTTATCTTGTGTGATGAAAATCGTCGACCGAATGTTTTTTTGTAAGTATGTGACAATTTTCTCTATTTATGTCATGGAGAGAAAACTCTCGTCATGTTATGCTCTGTGTGATCAAACGCATAACAGTACGTGACATCCAACCAAATGCTCGATGTCTTGTCATGTCGGTCAGACTCAAATTATTGAGTAGACAATTGTTTCGAAAAAACCATAATTCATACAATTCGTCTAGTGCTGACCTTTAATATGCACTGATCTATAACTGCAAGAATGTAAATTTTTTACTACGATAAGCCATTTTCCCTTTATGTGAAAAAACTGAAAAACTTGTAGATGCTTGTAGGTACTGGAACAGAGCAACAAAGTTAGTAGAATAATTCGAGTTACAAATGGAAGCATTCGAATTTCAAATGAAATAATTCGAAATTAATATGGAATCTCAAATTAAAACTAAAATGTTACGTTTAACAAATGGAAATCTCGAATTTCAATTGAGATATTACGAATTACAAAAGGAATTCTCAAATGGTAGGAGGTAGAACAGCCCCATAAAACTACAGAATAATGAATGAAAGGCCTATATTTTCTCTTAACAATATGATCTAAAGTTTTCAAACGTTCCATTAAAGGCGAAACTGTTTAATATATATCAGAATCCGTTGATATGTCTGTACGAGTAGCAAATAATGGGGTTGCCAAATTCAATAAAAATTCCAATAAATTCTATGTCCTCAAATTTTGTTAGTTTGACCGCTTAACCTTTTTTTACAAATATAACCTTTTCTGTAAATTTGGTATTTATCGTAAACGATTTCACGTTTAAAAATGTATGGCTTAAGCCACGTGATGTAATAGTCATACTAGTAAAGAATTGTTTAGTTTTTCGAAGCTTGTCTTTGAGGTAGATGAACTAAATTATCTGATCTTTCAACAAATTCTTTGGCAAATGTTTCAGCAGGCCGATATTAGTTTATCGGAAATTTCTTGAGGGACAACATGTTTGGAAGAAATTCTACTTTCTGAATAGCACGAACGAAGTTTGTAATTCTCCAAAAATATTCACCTTCGATATTAGATTTTGTATATTAGTTAACGTCCTCAGCTGTAGTGTCTGGTGCAAAGCTTTGATAGTTTATTGCCACTTTGCGATGTCTGTGCTGAAGCGGTTGGCGGTAAAGGTGCCCTCGCAGAAATTGGTCTGGTTTCTTTTCTCTTAATAGAGGGGGCCGATGAACTCGCTTCACTCATAGGATTAGCAGAAACTCTTAGGGTTTTACACACTTCTTAGCTTGGAGAAGATATACTTGCTACCCTGGAAGCAATAGTAAAAGCTGCAACGACCACTGCTGTGGCAGCGAAGACTTCTTAGTATGCCATTTGCGCTTCGATTCAGACAACAACTCATCATCACCTTAGTCCATTAAATTCTAAATTAAGTGCATCGGGGTTATTCATCAATTCCGACTCAAGTAGCATGTGACCGTTTGAGGCACAACCAACACTCGATTGTCTCATCGGAGCGAAGTCTGTAGCAATAGTACAATTGTCAAAAAACTCGTAGCAGAAAAGAAAATTATTAATTAACAATAAATTGTGTGTAGAAACCGTCAGTAAAGAAAACACACGGGGTATTTTTAGCACTAAATATATTAATATTTGGAAATATGTTTGAGAATTTTCATTATGTATTTCAAAATTATTTTGAAAAAATGTATTAAACGTTACCATTTAAAAACGAGTACGGCATGTGATGGATTACATCGAAAATTCAATATCTTGTATATACTTCTGCCTGTTATTCCACGTACTACGTATATCGTATATGTGAATTTACTTTCCTTACATTTTTATGTAGACATTGATATTCAGTTTGCTTTTTTTCATTCTTATTCAAATTTTTTCATTATTAAGTTTGTTTGTTGTTGTTGCTAATGATGGATTTCAAGTGAAACATTATTGAGTGTATGTAACGTTTGTTTCATAGTTAGGGAAAAGTGTACAGCGTATTGCAGGAATTTATTCTACCACTATAAATACGTCGAATAAAGTTATCTGTTTAGGTTTTGATTAAAAGTCTATGGTATTAATAACGCATAGTAATACGATAATAAGATAGTAAACATTAATTGCTGCATTAACTTTTCGTGTGTGCCACACAGAGGCTAAATTATTAAGCAGATGTGTCGTTAGCATCCTTTTTTGGAATCTTTTCATCCGAAGCACATTCTTCCGTCTCGGCGTTATTGCCGTCTCCATCGGTATTGTCTTTGCCCTGTGAGCGACGACGCTTTCGGTTTAAACGCCACGGACGCGATGGAAATTTTGGAGCAGGAAGTTGATCCATTCCAAGAACTTTGTAAATTTGTCGGAAAGCCATATAACGTAGGAACAGCTGGGCCGATACTGTCAGATCTTCACGCTGCTGCTTAGACAAATCCTCTAGGGCATCTTGTGGCTCCTTTTCACAAGGATCTAACAGGCCTGGACCATTTATAAGGAAACCTGACGCCAAGGCCTCCATAATGCGGCGCAAACAATCACCCGGTGAAATAGGAAAACCGGCGGAAGAGATTACTTTCTCTACAAACAACTCCATGGACCATTGTGGCAATGCTTGCCAGGATTGCACACGTTGGCAGAGATCACGTAATATGCGAATAACCATAACACATGACTGTAAACCAGTAGCACGGGCCTGGAACCATTTAGCATGGCGCAGTTCAGCCAAAGCCTAAAAACAGAACAAAACAAACGGATTGATTAAATGAAGGCGATTCAGGGGCAATGAAGTGTTACTTTACCCTAAGACAAGGTTCTCGGGGCAACAAAGCGGCATCACCACTGGCGTCACCATCATTGTCTGTAGATTTGGAGCTACCAGTAGATTCGCGCAACAACGGTGATGTTAGGGATATTTTTACAGAAACAGCTTCGTCTTGCACTAACACAGCGGATTCTTCAGTAACAACGTCAACTTTATAATCAACAGGATTTTCGCCTAAAAAGCAAAAAATTGTAGGTAATTATGAAAGATCTTGCACATGACTATGTAAATTAGGTGATGTAACTCTAACAGCGTACATTTCATACCCAACATTTAAATGTATGTTGCCGGAAAAAAATCTGCAGTGTTTTATTGTAATTACCAGGAATATTAAATACTACTTTGTTGTAAACATAAATTAAACTTTTCAAATAAAATACCTCAAAAAATCCCAACTGTTTCGTTCAAGCTTTCTGGCATTGAACTGTAACAAATAATCAGTACTGTTTTTATTTAATTATAAAATAATTAAATATTATTTATTATATACTTGCAAATTATATTAGTTTTGTTTTTAACTTAGTTGAGATTTCCCAAGGTCGTCGTTTATTTAATTTTTCTTAAATAGTGTAAAAAAAATTAAAGCCAATAAAAAATCTTGAACTATGGAAGAAAAAAGATAAATATTATCCTATGAGTATGAAATGCGCTTTGAACTATCATTTTTAATTTTAGATTGTACACGGGGTGGTATATTCCACTCATCGAAGGATTCACTTTTGTAAAAAGAGTTGCAAAAATATGAATGTTTTTTTTTTTATTAAAAGAAAAGGTATATTCAATGAAAAAAATGTATGCTTCAAATCAGTTGGTTTGGATCATCTTGCGACGTATTTACACTATCACCCAAAACGCGAGTACAATTTTTTCTAAGTGTGTGCCCGACTTCTGTCACTCCTGAGTTTGTATTTATGGATTGTATAAAAAACAACATTCTTTGCAGAGCGCGAGTAGAAGAATTCAACCAGTTTTGCATTGGAAATTAATACTGAAAATCATTATTTTTTTATTATTTATAGTTTATTTTAAAAATGTATACAGAAAGAGAACATGACATTACCGATTATAGAAACACCTCTGTAACGGCTGCGAGATGTATCGTTTGAATCTAATTTATTAGATTATACATGTTGTAAATTTTCGATTTCCTGATGATCGAGAATGTGGATTCTGTATTCTAGTAATATTGAGCTCAGTTGTACGAGATTTTTATGAATGCAAGCACTTCATTTGCACAAAAAGAGATCAAAAATTTAAAATTTCTTCATAACAATTGGTAAATGTGTAAGCATGGTACAATGAACCACAACCAATAGATTTTGATTTATTATTTGCTTGTCAAATTTAGTTGTGTATGTGTGTGTGTATTCCTTTCAATTATACGAAAGTTGTATAGAAAATATTCAAATTCAGTTGCAACCAAAGTGATTATTACAATGAATGTAGGGATAAATTTTACCCTTTTTGTGGCGAAATAAGTCTTTTGAGAGTTGTTTTGAAAAGAAATCTTGAACTTTCATTCAGTTTACAAGTTTTTTGTTTTTGTATTGAAAATCAATGCAACAATTTGTTTTGTTTGTTTAATAACTTGTTGCATTTTTTGATAGTAATTCTGACATTACAATCTATACAAGTAGGCCTCTTTACTTGCAACATTTTCCAACTTAGCCTATCATGTCATTAGGACTCCCAAACAAGAACAACTATTCACAACCCTTTACAAAGAACATTACTTTCTGGAGTTACCATTAGATGTTGTCTAGAACATTCTCTCCAAGTTTAAAAAAAAAAAAACTTTATGAAAATCAAGCGTGTCAGGGCGAATTGACAATAGCTACCTGAACAACTCTATAACCACAAAAACATCATTAAGTATTTCTTTGACAATTTCTATTTTTTCTTGTAACAAGGCATCGTTAAACATCAACGAATAAAAAGTGGTTTGTTGATTTATTTTTTCCAACAATAAAAATAGAAATAATTCAGGCTCAAAAGCCTGGCTACAATGAAATAAAAATTGGTATGATACAATGAAAACAAGGTAGAAAAGGTTTGATAAATACAACAATTTGTATTTGTTCCGTTCCAGAACCTGCAGAAATCTATTATTTTCGCAATTTTTTACCTTCCACCTTGAAAGGAGGGTATATTGTCATTCCGTTTGTAACATCCCTAAATATATTCATATTCAGCATACAATTCTAAAGCTGGAAATACATAAAGAGCATATTTGGCTGGCTTAAGTCATTGGCTGGCTTCTTCGGAAATGAACAAAGGAGCCCAGGGCTAAAATCGAACTAAGTCAACCTAAAACTCCTTTGTTCATCTACGAAGAAGCCAGCCGATGACTTAAGTCAGCCATATATGCTCTTTATGTATTTCCAGCCTAAGTCGATTTAACGATGTCCGTCCACATTTTCCACGGATTTCTCTAAAAATTGGTATTTGTACAAAAAATGTGAAATGTTACTACGATCATCGTTTTTTCCTTTATGATACGAAAAAAATCCAAATCTAGTACATAGTTGCAGGTTCTGGATTCACATGCCAATCCTTATGTATATTCACAAATCTAAAACAAAAAGGAAAAATTGTAGCAACAGAAGATCCCACGTAAAAAAAGTTAGACTGGCAATGTTTACGCATCAAAATTATTCAGCAGCCAAATTAGTTTGGCCGATTTAGAGTAAAAATGTAAAATAAAAATCTTACATTTTCCGACACAAGTGCTTGGTTAGATTTTGACTTCAAATGCTTAGTTCCAGAACCTGCAAGAATTTACGGGTTTTACAAATTTGTTTTCGATATCATAAAGCAAAATTGGTTATTGTAGTAAAATGTTTTACATTCCTGCAGTTCTGGAACAGAGCAAAAATATCATATTCAATAAGAACGGCCTACATTTAATGTTAATTTTTTTTATTCGACCAATAAAAAAGAAGTAACAAACATAACTGACCTTTAAGACACATAAATATCAGTGAAGGCGCCTATTGTTATTATACGAGTACATTCATTTCCACTCTGATGCAATGTTGCATTTCAAACCAATTATATTTTTGCACGCACACTCTTCGGAAAACATACAAGTACAACATTTAAGAATTTCATGCATTGTTATAACGGCGTTTTTGAGCACGATACTTACTTCGTATACAGATAAATTGACGTTCTGGTAGTCTGTTAATTTATGTATGACTTGTCCTTTGTGAAAAAAAACTGATTTACTTTCCCTTATATCGTTTCATTTTGCAACTCTATTTACATAGTATTTTATTAAAAAAAAAAAACTTTTCATTTCGAAAATATTGGCCGAAATTCGTGATGCCATTTTACTGTGGTATTTTGGCGGATATTTGTAATTTCAATGTCAACATTCGTGTTAAAAATCGAAAATACGCCCCTCAAAATGTCATTTGTTAATTTCGGCCTTAATTCTAATTTTACTATCTGCAATCGTAACAACATAGCGCCGCAAAACACCATATTGTTTATTTTGTATTGAAAATCACACAAATATTAAGCATGACATGTGGGCCCAAAGTTATGGGGCGGAAAGCAAAAAATAGTCGGCTAACTGAAAGGCATAATAAGGATCAAATTTCGAAAATACAAAAATACATACATTCATTATGCTTGATTTGTGTGATCACATATTACAAACTGATGGTAGGTAATTACTTAATGTCAAATTAACCCAAGTTCAAAGGACTTTATTTACACAAAGTTTCTTTTGTGGCTTTGGCTGTTATTCATTCGGTTGTCGAATACAGTTTTCACTGTTAAGACTTGACCATCTTGTCGGAAGAGTGAACACGCTACAGTTGGAAGTATTAGGTTATCTAAAAGCGGTAGAAGATTTATATCGTCTTATCGAGAGCACATTTGTGTATAGAGGAACGACCCTAAACTTTGTATAAATATATTCCTTTGTTGGTAGGTTGGTAGGTTCGTATAGAGCCCACTCGCTTGTGAGACACGAAGATTTGTGTTACCGTTAAATTAAGTTATCCTCATTGCAGCTACGGACCGAATGTACGAAGATACTTTAAGACCTTTTAAGGCGTTAAGTTGGTGGTTCAATGGATGGAAGGGATGATTAGAAGCAATCTCAACATGGCCATGAAATCATCCTGTGAAAAGAGCTGAAAACACCAAATACAGTTTTTGTTTATTTCGTTTCTCATACATATTTATATTGTTGTTTTTCTTGTTAATGCCACCACAATTTCGGTAATCCAAACTTTCAATACTTTTTCCATACAAATTGCCATCGCTTAATAATGTCGCTATTCTAGCTTTTCATATTTTCAATCATTCAACTTTAGTTTCTGTTTCCGTTTCATTTCATTCCATTTGATTGATAACAAAAATACAAATAAATAATCCACAGATATCGAATGGATATTTATCTTTCGATATTGTTAATATTATAATTTCACTTGTTTCACTTTGTTAATTGAAATAATGAAAACAAATAGTGTTGTTTGTTTAACGTGCACTTCTAGCTATTTCTTTGGAAAAAGTTTGTTGGGCAGGGTAGTAAAAGGCTTCGGCTCATGCTTGCAGGGAAGAATGCCACGTCAGCCTTTTCTATGATCCCTTCCAGCAAATTTCTTGTTAGGCTTTTACATATTTTAGCAAATATATTTTAGTCTGATCACTCATAGTCAAACTTACCTGCAACTTCTTTGAGTTTTTGTGGTAGTTCAGAGGCGACACGCTTAAGTAGACCCACGGTTGGTTTTTCGGAGCACAAAACAACAAGCTCGACGGCATTGTCGCCCTGCAATAGCAGTCCTTTGGCCAAGAAGCCGACGCGCATAACTCCTTTAAGAATTCGTAAGTTACCAGTGTCGGCCTCCTTCTGGAAAGAGAGCATTTGGTTATCACGCCCATCCTTTACAGTATTACCATCCGCTTTTTCTTTTTTGGCAGTCGATGGGCCGTTGTCGTTCGGATTCTCAGCTAATGTATCTGAAACAAATTTCAGTGCCCGCTCTGTATGTGACACAATGCGCTGTATTAATTGCAACTCCTCCTCTTTTGGATAAATTTGAGCATGACGAGCAATAGCATGGCGATCGTCATTGCTCTCTGGCCGACGAATACCAGCTCCACCGGGAATCATACCAAAGAATGGCGGCGGTCCATTGCCCATGCGACCTCCAAAACCACGCTGATTACCTGCGATATAAAATCTGAATTTCAGTAAAAGTTTTCACAAGTTTTACTTAAACAATTATTAAAGGAATAACATTTTTGCCAAACAAAGTTCATTCAATTCCCAATCAATTAATTTAGTAAATAAAATATGTAAAATGATATGTAAACACTTTGTTTTAATTTAAGGGCTGTTCCAGAAACTGAAGAATCTACTAGTTTTGCAATTTTTTCGATATCATAAAGGGAAAATCGGTTATCATAGTAAAAATTTTTACATTCTTGCAATTCTGGAACATAACATTATTTTTCAGTTATATTCCTACTTTTTAACGTTGATTATTTGGATAATACATAAAAACATACTACTGATAACAACAGGAGAAAAATACGATGATACAGATGCAAAATACCCAATTACAGCACTTTCGAGTGTTACAGTATTACCCAAAAAACCAATCTTTAGTCCGAGCAAGTATTTGAGAAATCATCATCAATTAACGTACCAAATACGAACACATTCCAGATTTTGTATTTGTCGCACTGTGGCAATGTGAGGCCAACACCTTAATAAGAAACATTTGTTACAGGATTAATTTGATACATCTATCGGTACTATTATCCGATTTTTTTGTACAACCGCTATGAAAAGGTGTGTAATGACAGAAAAAAATCAGACATATTCGAAATTTTAATGAAACTTATTGAAAACCAGCAAAGAAAGACTAAATTCCGCTATGCCTACTTAGTACCCGACAAAATTGTTCAAGGTATTGGAATATATAACGAAAATCACTGTTATGGAGTACATATTTCGGTTTTGGGAGACTTAAATATCGAGATTAAATGTGGGAGCTGTAGCTGAAGGCCTGTTTCTTGTTCTTTGCTTACGTCCCAGAATGGATAGACCTTACAACCGAATTGATAGACGTCTTTCGGTCATGCCTAAATCTACTCAGAAGTTGGTTCTATAAAGATCACCACCTCGTTTCCTTCTAAATGTTACAAACAAATGAATTCACATGACAATTAATGCCATTCGAAATTCCACCCTTAAATTGACCATTCTTTTCAAAAAGCTTGAACATTTTACACGAAGAATAACTCATAATTCTTGTTAGCATACCTCCAAAACTGCGAGCCAACCAGTTATTATAGTCGTATTCGTCATCAAATTGTGCCCGCCTGCGTTGTTCGTCTCCCCAATAACCAGGCTTCTCTCCAAAATTGGCATTTTGACCACGATGAGAACTCATTAACGCACGCTGCGCTCTAGCTTCAGCGAGACGGCGTTGTCTCGGGGTAGGCTTAAAGTCGACCACCAAGTCTGGTTGTACTTTTCGTTTATACTGAAGACGATGGCGACGTCCTTTTGTATGCATTTCCTTGGCATTTGGATCATTGAATTTACAGTCGCAAAGTTTGCAATTGAAACTCAGGATTTTTCCTTCTTCATCATTGACCTCTTCAATGTATTCCCCACCGACCGGTTTAATATTATCCAAGTTTTCAGTTGAATCGTCTTGGTTTTCTGTAAATATAAAATGCTGTTAGACCAAGTACGCACAAAAATATTTAGATGCAAATGTACCTTCATTTTTAGATTCATTCTGGTTTTCGGCAGATTCTCCTTCTTTGGTGCTTGCGGCGCCATCGGCGGTACTATTGCTACCACTGGCAGGGACAAAATTAATTTTGCCCATTTTCTTGGGCTCATCGGCTGGTATAGGTTTGCCTAGCTTCTGGTGCAACTTGACAACTTTCTGATGTTTGGCGCCCCGAACATGGGCAGCATAAGCATCGGTTCCTGTACATGTAACATCGCATAGTTCACAATGGTAGTTGTTACCCCTGTTCTGAGTTGTAGTTTGAGCACTGGCCTGCATTTTCAATGAAGCTTCACGTTTCTTATGCTTTTGACCCTCCAAATGTTCACGATAGGTCTGTGGTCCAGCACATGATATCTTACAAACCTCGCAATAATGTAATTGTTGGGGACGAGGAGGTTGTTTTGGTCGCGAAGTTTTATTTCCAGGGCCTCCAGGACCACCTTTACGATATGGTGGCCAGTTACCACCTGCGCCCATCACACCATTTGATTTGCCAGGATTTCCCCCTCCCGCTCCATGTTGAGAGGGCTGGTGTTGTTGAGCCACATACATCGAAGCAGCACTATAGAGGGCAGCATCATAGTTAGTGTAGGAACCTGATGCTGTTGTAACTGTTGGACCTCCCATCTTTCCTTGTCCACCCGGTCCGCCCTTATCTTTTCCGGACGAAGGTTTCGTTCCAATTGGGGTGACATTTTTTACTGGTGGTGCCGAATAATGAGTCTTACCAACTGTAGATGATGGAGCGGTGTTGTAGCTGGAGGCTGCTTGCTGGTAAAATGTTTTTGACGAATCATAGGCTTGCAGAGAAGCATAGTCGTTGCCATATCCCGCATAACCGGCTGCAGCGGCACCACCTCCAGCTGCATAACTTCCGCTTCCAGCAGCTACAGCAGATTGATAAGCAGCGGCATTAGCGAATGTCGCATTAGTTACAGCCGGATAAGATACAGAGTTGGAACTGTACGTACCTGGTGCACCAGTGGATGTGTACTGTGTACCTCCGTAACTAAAGCCGGCGTAATTGTTCGCCATGACAACCTGGAGATAAAATCACCAATTAATAAAATTTAATAAATAGAAAGGCGAGCCGCCGAATGCAATTGCATCGGTAATTTTTGCAATTACTTTTTTTCAAATATCACTTCTTGAAAACAAGCGGATTTGCTCGGCAAAATAACGATGGCTCAACTTTGTTATACACACACCAATTCGTTCGTACGGTGTGTCGTTAGAAAATTTACCCTCAGCACGGCAAGCCGGTCTAGCCCACTGATTCTATTGAAAAGAATATTTTTCTCCAAAACAACGCAAAATAATTATGTTACAGAATTTTCTATATTTCTTCCTATAACAAAAATAGGTATATTATATGTTTATCGATTTTAAAATGTCTAGTAATGGCTGCGGTTTCGCCAAATTTTTGTCATTTTTCAGACTTTTATTCTAGACCAAAAACTTTTTTTGTAATTACGGAAAACATTTAGCAAAGAATTTTTTAATTACGCCTGATATGGCTACAATTTATTTATAATAATTCATCAAATTAAGCTATTCTATCATTAAAATATATAATTACCAAATAAATTTTCTCAACACAGAAAGCTGGATGAAAATTCGCGTGAGTCCCTGTTAAAATGCTTGTCGGAAGAAAATTAGTTATCGATAGTTTTCGATAAAAACATATGTATAACCAAATTGACAATAGAGGCTCATCGTTGTACTAAAAAGTATAGAAGGCGTTAAAACATGCGTGACTTTTTATGCAAGGACACCCAATACCGCACTACCGAAAATTCGACGTAGCTTACATAAGTATTTAACTTCCCCACCATGGTAAAATATTTTATACATCCGCATTTCCCAAACACACCAGGTCCCTATCTCAAAATCTACTGACTAATAACGTTGTAAAAAGTGATAGTTTTTAATATTCGTCCAATTGTTGTATATTCCAATTATATTCATTTATGTTTTCTATTTCATTCATTCCCATGCAGCGTTTTAAAATAAACAATATGGTACTGTACCGCAGTGTTCTGTACCGTTCCTAGGTTGAGTGGTACACTAATGGTCTGTTCCAGAACTGCATGAATGTAAATGTTTTTACTACGATAACCGATTTTCCCTTTATGATGTCGAAGAAAATTACAAACTAGTAAATTCTTGCAGGTTCTGAAACAGCCCATATGTTAATGTACCGTACCGGAGAACAACCCTTAAAAAAATTTTAGTGATACTGTCGCAGTCGGAGCACTAAAAACGTAGTGTACCGCAGTCGACGCACTACAAAAACGTAGTGTACCATATAGCAGAACATTAAAAAAATAATGTACCGGTAGTGTACCACATATGTGTTGTATACGATTTGTGAAAAAATTAGATATTTGATGTTTTTGATAATGCAAAAATTACTAATACAATTCAATATTAAGAAAATAAAAGCTGAATTTATTTTATTTGTCATATATGTTTAGATTTGTTGCGAAATTGAAGAAAGTAGAAAAATATCAGAATAGGTGGAAATAATAAAAAAGGACAAAATCTGAAGTGATAATAATTTGTATTGAACCATTTAAAAAAATTTTTAATTTTTCGCGAAAAAGGGTTGTTTATTGGTTGCGTTGTAATGGTTATTATATTATTACCTGTTATTATAGGTGTAAAAAACTAAATATTTTACAAAGTATTGCGCGAAACAAGAATGGAATTTGGGGGTTATTCCACAAGATTGAATCTAAAATAGTAGGAAATACAGTTTTACCACAAAAGTGTACAATTTGTTACCCATTTACGTCGAAATTTTGCAACCAAATTTGAAATATTTTCAAATGTTTGTATTTTTTATTTAAAACAATACATACACATACACAAAATGTGTGTATGTTTTTGAGAGAAAAAGGGCACCAAAAGAAAAAAATACATTTAGGGGGTAGCTTTGTTCTACCTTCTGTAATTATGCCATGTTCATTCCTATTTTCAACACACAAAAAATAAATTATTTCTATTGTCAAAGTTGAAAATGTTCAACTTTGAAATTTTGTGCGACCAACGTATTTGTGTAGCACTCGTATAAATACATGTGTTTTACTTGTGTGGTGAAAATCTTCGATCGATTACGTCGAATTTTCGGTAACGCCGTTATTCAGAATGTAGCAAGGGATAATGAAAACAAGTTGGGCAACATGGCCCTTTTCCATGATACAATGAAACCCATGGTACAATAAAAAGGTAAGGTATAGCTACCAGCTGATTATAATTTTTTTTCTGAGTGTGCCTATTTTGTATATGTATTTATTATTTTGAAAAATAAATTTCGTATTTATTTTCAAAATCAATGATTGGAAGAAACGTAGATTGTGGGTGGCGCTTTGAAGATATTAACCAGTTTAGCCATGGAATTGAAAGATTGGACACTCTGGATCATATTTTTGAAATAAAATCCAGGCACTTCATTCTTCTTTCGCTTTATTTAAGTCATTTAAAAAATGAGGAAATAAATGAAAACAATTTGTTGCATATAATTATAATAGGGCAGAGCTATCAATAGATTTTAATTTTTTTATTTTCTTGGCTTAACATGTCATCTTAAGTTGTGTTGTATGTGTATCTTTTCCACTTTTAAGGTGAGAATACTTAACATGCTTTCTGGATTTAAGACTGGCTGGCTTCTTCGTAAAGGAACAATATCGTTTTAGGTTGACTTAGTTCGATTTTGGGTCGACGCTCCTTTGTTCTTTTACAAAGAAGCCATCCGATGAATTAAGCCAGTCAGATATGCGTTTTATGTACCTATTTTACGCTGATCCGGAATATATATATATATATATATATATATATATATATATATAAAAAGAACAAAGGAGCGTCGACCCAAAGTCGAACTAAGTATATATATATATATATATATATATATATATATATATATATATATATATATATATATATATATATATATGTGTGTGTGTGTGTAGTGAATAATTTTTTTCGTGCTGGAATTGAGGAAATACAAATTACATTTGTTGTTGACATATTATAATTGTATTTATTATTTTACTCACTTCTTTCTTTCCGGAAGAAACAATATAGTGGAACCCAAAATTGTCCATCTCCGAAATCGATCCATTCTATTTTCTTTTATTTTCTTGAATGAACACATGATAGAATCAAAAAGGTAAAGTCATGCAATCATAAAAGTAAAGAAAGTCTTAAAGTCGGGGCCGACTTTATGATACCCTACACCACTTTGCTAATTTAGTAGAATTCCGCATAACAATTAAAAGTTTTTATGGGAGAATTCAATCATACTCGCTATGATTATAATTATAATTTAAAGTTCAAAGGACTAAATATGCCGAAGCATATGTATCTTTTAAATTCGGACTTGTATTGCCCATGATTTGTAAAATGATTGATTGATGATTGTGCAAAATTTCATCTGGATAGCGCAATAAATGCGAATTGTACTTTGTTTACAAAAATACATGGACAGACCGACGGACGGACGGACAGACCGACGGACGGACATGCATAAATCGACTCAGAATGTGATTCTATGCAGATCATCAAAAGGAACTATGGGTCTATCTCGTTTCCTTTTACCTGTTACAAACAAATGCACAAAGACCACCTTGTGGTGTAGGGTATAAATAAATATTTATAAATCCATTGTAAATACACAAATCAGAGATGGGAACCCAATTTTTTAGCAGTAAATTTGACAAGGTAAATTACAGAAAATGCAGAGAAATGACTTTACCTTCTTAATTTTACTATGGATTAACATGTCCATTTATTATTTATTTGTTTTGTTAATTTTACCACATGCCTTTGAAGAGAAATTTCGACCTTTGACTATGTTCAAATAATTAAGCACTTGCGCTTTCAATCGAAATTGAAATGATTTGATTGGTCTTTTTTCTAAGTGTTTCCACAATTCTTTTTATAACATTCCGGAAACGGCAGCCATCGCAATTGAATATTATGGCATGGCAGGAGTCTAAATTTGTTGAACAATAGTTCCAAACGCCGAAAACGGTATATATATATATATATATATATATATATATATATATATATATATATATATATATATATATATATATATATATATATTCCGGATCAGCGTAAAATAGGTACATAAAACGCATATCTGACTGGCTTAATTCATCGGATGGCTTCTTTGTAAAAGAACAAAGGAGCGTCGACCCAAAGTCGAACTAAGTATATATATATATATATATATATATATATATATATATATATATATATATATATATATATATATATATATATATATATATATATATATATATATATATATATATATATATATGTGTGTGTGTGTGTGTGTGTAGTGAATAATTTTTTTCGTGCTGGAATTGAGGAAATACAAATTACATTTGTTGTTGACATATTATAATTGTATTTATTATTTTACTCACTTCTTTCTTTCCGGAAGAAACAATATAGTGGAACCCAAAATTGTCCATCTCCGAAATCGATCCATTCTATTTTCTTTTATTTTCTTGAATTAACACATGATAGAATCAAAAAGGTAAAGTCATGCAATCATAAAAGTAAAGAAGGTCTTAAAGTCGGGGCCGACTTTATGATACCCTACACCACTTTGCTAATTTAGTAGAATTCCGCATAACAATTAAAAGTTTTTATGGGAGAATTCAATCATACTCGCTATGATTATAATTATAATTTAAAGTTCAAAGGACTAAATATGCCGAAGCATATGTATCTTTTAAATTCGGACTTGTATTGCCCATGATTTGTAAAATGATTGATTGTGCAAAATTTCATCTGGATAGCGCAATAAATGCGAATTGTACTTTGTTTACAAAAATACATGGACAGACCGACGGACGGACGGACAGACCGACGGACGGACATGCATAAATCGACTCAGAATGTGATTCTATGCAGATCATCAAAAGGAACTATGGGTCTATCTCGTTTCCTTTTACCTGTTACAAACAAATGCACAAAGACCACCTTGTGGTGTAGGGTATAAATAAATATTTATAAATCCATTGTAAATACACAAATCAGAGATGGGAACCCAATTTTTTAGCAGTAAATTTGACAAGGTAAATTACAGAAAATGCAGAGAAATGACTTTACCTTCTTAATTTTACTATGGATTAACATGTCCATTTATTATTTATTTGTTTTGTTAATTTTACCACATGCCTTTGAAGAGAAATTTCGACCTTTGACTATGTTCAAATAATTAAGCACTTGCGCTTTCAATCGAAATTGAAATGATTTGATTGGTCTTTTTTCTAAGTGTTTCCACAATTCTTTTTATAACATTCCAGAAACGGCAGCCATCGCAATTGAATATTATGGCATGGCAGGAGTCTAAATTTGTTGAACAATAGTTCCAAACGCCGAAAACGGTACGCGTTGCATATTCGACATTTCCCACATGCTTAATTCCTTGCCTGTAAACTTTTTTAAACATTCTGTGTATATAAAAAGAATGCTGGAAAAGACAGGACGTCGTATCTCCTGATTTTAATGATAAATTCAGTTCACAATTGAGAGAAACCACGTTTCGTCCCAGTTATTATCAATCGTATGGAGAAGATGAAATTATACTTCTTGCTCCCAATCAACTATTTTTCTATTTCACTAACACATAACG